CTTGAAATAATTCTGTGATTTGAAAACCAGGAGAAGTATGGTTCTAGGCAGTACATAGTATAGCATCTAATATCTCATAATATTTCAACACATAAATGAGTATTTCCAAGTCTGCTGCTTTGTTCCTACATCACCTTGAAAAGGTGTTCCAAGCATCTGGATTCCAGTTAGTCCATTTAGAAAATAAAGCGGCCCTGCTTACTGTATGAATAATAGAAATAATGATACATATGAAGGTACTTTATATATTGCAGAGCCTCACACAACTAAAATAGGACATAAATAATGATTGTAAAGGAAGGAAAAATGTCTTTTGCCAGTGAGGACGGACACATGTCCATGAAGTGAGGTCAGCAGTCAGTGGTGGGAGAGCACTGGGAATGTCTTCTGACCCAATTCTTATTTGCCTCCTATACTCACAGGCCAACCCTTCCTGCCCTTCAGCGGGCCAATTTCTTTATAAAGGTACTAATTATTATTAATGACAACATTCCTTCTAGTCCCCATACAAACCTCTCACGGGTCTTCTTTCTCTCTTTCATTATAATTTTGTGAAATGATAACTTGGATGGGAATGAACTTCATCATTCAAAAATCCAGTTGAAATACTTCAAAGAAATTTCAAGTAACCAGCAGGAATTTACCTAATTTAGAATTGATCTCATCTTATTAAGACCCTGGTCACTTTCTACATTGCTCAATGACTCAGTCTCTCTCTCTCTCTCTCTCTCTCTCTCTCTCTCTCTCTCTTTCAGAGGCACACTCACCTATAAATGTGCTTTACACAACACATAAAACTCTGGTGAATGTGCCTTCTCCCACTGGACCAACAGACCATAACCCAGAGAAAACCATAACTTAGGGAAAAAATGAACCTAGTAATTTCTCACTAACAAGCTTATAAACGTTTCCCACGACCCTCAAATAAATCTGTGTAATTCTTTCTTCTTCTCCTGGAAACACCAGTGCTCAAAAGGTTCTCAGGAATGAGATTCTAAAAGATCCTCATTCCTCCTTTCATTCTGCAACCATCTCTCCTGCCCATTTTGACTTCTCTGCATTAGAACTTATCAATTATGGATGGTGTGGCTTGTCTGACCCACATCTCACCTGACCCCTGCTCCCTTGGGATTCCATTCCGTAGTCAGAAGAATATCCATTTCAGAAAATAAGATTCTTTGATAGCTATCCTGAAGTTTCCTTCTGCAAGTCTCATCCTATTACTTCCATGGGCCACACTAAATAACTCCTCTCCTGCACTGACAGCCCCTCTCTTCAGAGATTTGTAGATTGTTACCATGGCTTTCCCTTCATCACCACTTAGCCCAGCCATATATATTTAATTCTTTTCATCTTTCATCATAAATCAATCCCTTCAACTCTTAAACCAGCTCTCTGATCTCCTCTGGAATAGTTCCAATTCTCCCAATTCACCTCCAATAACAGACATCCCTCTAGGGAGCTCCAATTCCTCTCATCTTCCTTTCTCTCTTTGCCCTTTCCAGAAATGAAATGAGAAGGGATGGACAGAGGTCAAGGGTCATGTATATTGCATTGCAACTATCTACTCTAAATTGTCTAGGATTCTCTATAGAACATGCAAAGTTCCAAGTCATGTATCTCCTTTCTAGGTGGCTTATCAGCAAACAGACCTTTTTATACCACAACATTTTCTAGACCTCTGGCTGAGGGGTGGCAGAAACAGATCTCAAAGATTCTACAAATAAGGGTATGAATCAGAGCTATGGGCAGTGTGCTAGCCTGCAGGCAGGCCTCTATTGTATGATTTGGACTGTCCTGGATAGTATATCACCATTCATACAATCTCAGTAACTAACTGCCTCTCTCTGTCTCTTCTCTATGAATGGGTGCTCCCAGGAACTGCTTCAGGCTTTGAAACATTGATCCCATTTATGAATTCACAGTAACCCACAAAGAAAAACCACAAGCATGTCATTCATTATAATACCTCTCAGACATCCTTTTGTCCTCTCAGACAGCCTAACCCACAAGCAATACAATGTTTTTTCTTTGTCCTAGCTAGGCACTTTTCCATTTTGTCACATCCCTAGACATTGCCCTGCTCAAGTTTAGCAAACTATCTTCATTCTAAAACAAATGGGCTACTGCAGATCCCCGGTCACAAGGAGTAACACATGTCCCACAAATACCGCATCAGCACTACCGCCCCCTCTAGGCAGGACCACCAGTCCCTTGTGCAGAAACAAAAATAAACTGAGTTTTTTCCCATTTTCCTTTTGTACAGTCAAAGGTCCTGTGTCATAGGAGAGTTAAATGTCTGTTTCCACAAATAAGAACCCGTGTAAAAAATAATAAGCCTACCCCCAACATTATAAATAGAAAAATCAATCCAAGTGGCAGAATATTAGCCAGAATTTTCAAACAGGAAGATGGATGGAGCCACAATGCTGTGTGTTGTTTCAGACATGGAACATGATACAGTGAGATGTGTCCACTCCATGGAAAGGTCAGCAGAGGAGGCTGTATGTGAGTGAGGCTGGGAAGGCAGGAAGGAGAGAGGCTACTCCTCCATGGCTAGAGGCCTAACTGCAGACAGCATATGTCCTCAGAGACAGGAGAGGCCATTCTGTTCCAAGTGTGATCACCATGCGGCCTGAAGTGCTTTTCAATAAGCTGTCTGTCTCTCTGGAGGTCACAGGGAGCTCATCCAGTTACACTTAGTGTCTTATTTGATCCCATCAATAATCATTTGATCCCAATTCTGCTGAAAAATGTTTGGCCAAAATTTCTAGCCTTTTAATGGCAGAATCCTGGCTCTTTCTGAAACCAACATCTCTAGATGTGTCAAGTGATGCATAAGGGTTTGGTCCAGCTGCCAAATGGACTGTGCTGCTGAGGGAGGACTTGGGATGCTCACTGCTTCCCTGAAGCTAGTGGCAGAGCAGCTTTTGAATGACACTCATTTCTACATAAAGCTTCCCCTGTGCTTCATTTCTGCACAGAGGGCTTGACTAGAATAGTATGTTCTTCAAATGCATTATGTGACTCAAACACATCCACTAATAGCTTCTTGCAAACAAACTGCCTGTAGTTGGCAACTTTGGGGCTGAAAAGGGGCCCCTTTTTGCCTGTCAACAACTCATGACAACAGCTGATACAGACTGCTGGGGCATACAATCATTTCACAAGAAGTGATAGGAAGTTCCAGAGATGCTTATAGACATGAAAGTGGAAGAAAATCTGTCTTTTCAGAGATGTAATTTTTACACTTATTCCAGAAATATTGGGCAAACAAAGAAAATGTTGCATTATAAACCACAAAAGCCACAATGCCATTAAAGCCCAGTCGTTCTTTACAGAAGTGTCCTTAGTGGGACAACAATTTCATTCTCACATCTCATTTCACTAAAGGTTCTGCCAAACTCATCAGACCTTGTCTTTCACTAGACACAATATAAATCCCAGTATTGGTTATACGGGGTCATTTTAGGTTGTCAGTGTCACAAATGCCAGTGGTGAAATATCTACACATCTGCACTCTGTTTTCTGGAGGACCACATGCTCTAGGTTTCTGTGCAAAGACAGGGGTCCTCAGCTTCTTAGTAGCTCTGCTGCATGACAGCATTGAATATACATAGGAGTGTGTGTCTGTGTGTGTGTGTGTGTGTGTGTGTGTGAACAAGCATGGGAGGTAGTTGTAGCTCCACAATGGCTCCTTTGCAAAGCTTTCTACCAATTAATATTAGACATTAGTAACCAGTGGAGCATAAGAACTTCATTTATTTCTCATGATGAGAACGGTGGAAAAGAAGATAGGTTTGCTCAATGGAATCAGTGTGGGCTTCTTTAAAAACGTTATTTTTCTCTCTGTGCTTTTCTGATTCATTTACATCACATATTTTATTCATTCACGAGTCCTTCCCCAGAGAACTTATGAGAGAAACATCCATTCAAAACCACCTGGTTTGCCAGCCAAAATACTGAAGAGTTAGAAGTAAGCGCCTACACACACACACACACACACACACACACACACACACACACACACCAAACAGTGAGTATGGGAAGAAATGAGGGAGTCAATGAAACAGAAACCTCATTCCAGAAGTCTCCAGCAGTGAGAACTGCAGTGAAGCGGGCCTGCCAGAGACAATCTGCGTGAGCCACTGCTGCAGACATTGGAGCTAAGCATTCCAGGGAAAACAAGAGGGAAGAGGAAGAAAAGCTGGCAAGATAATTATTGCTTCTCCCTGACTCTGCAGTGACTCCCCAGAGCAAAGCAACCTTTCCATCTCTCTCTCTCTCTCTCTCTCTCTCTCTCTCTCTCTCTCTCTCCCTCCCTCCCTCCCTCCCTCGCTCTCTCCCACCCTCCATTCACCTATCCTGTCCCCCCTTTCGTTAGTTCCTCTGGGGCTTTCCCAAGACGTCTGAGAAAAATAGTGAGAGTCTGAGAGTACAACATAGACTGGGGATGGGAGTTGGGGGCAGTAGAATGAATCAACAAAGAGTAAGGAAGAGGCAACCTCTGGGCAAGCCAGAATTGGGGAAGGTGGCGATGTAATGGGGTAGGGTTCACTATGAGGAGGAATTCTGTATTCTCTAGGAAATTGTGCCACATTTTCCAAATCTGTGGTGGCTCAGGAAAGGATCTAGGGTAGGGGAGAAAAGCCAATAGTTCTGAGGTTGAGAACTAACTTGGAACTTAAAAGTGATAGGGATATTTCAACCATTCTCAGAGCTCAGGAAGTACGACAGCCAATTTTGACTTCGACCATGTGTAAGTAGATACAAGAAGGGTTGGAAGAATCTCCAACCCCGGGAAACTTTTCATCCAACTTGTTCGCTAAAAGGGAAGGAAGGTCCTTGGCGGAAGTGACTGTGTTGAGCCACAAAATAAGAAAACATGGTTTAACTTAGGAATGAGTAAAGAGGACTAAGAAGGTTAACAGTTACTAGTGGTTTCAAGTCATTGTAACTAAAAACGCAAATCCCAACATGCTCTGCCTGGAGCTGCTCACCGGTCCCGAAGATCTGGAAGAGAAGGCGGGGCTGGGAGGCACGGATAGCCGCCGACAGCTTTCCCTCCCTGCCCATTTCCGAAGCCTTCTTCTCCGGCATCAGGCGGATCCTCAACCGCCCTTCGCCGTGGCGAATCCACCAGCTAAACAGCTCGCTGAGGTTGAACTGGAGCAACCCCACAGCCGCTGCCTCCTCTGGGGGCCCAACGCAGCCCTCCAGGATCGCCTCCTCGCCCAGCTCCAGCACCAGCTGCTTGGCTCGCCGGAGCTTGCGCACAGAGCCTCCCTTCAGCACCCTGGACAGCGTCGGACCTCCTTCTGAACTGGGCGAGCTGGTGCCTGCTGCCCAGGAGACCCCGAGCCGGGGCCCCAGCAGTCTGAGCAGAGGGGCACAGTCCAGAGCCAGCGAGCCCCTCGCCTCCGGCCCGCCAGTCCTAGGCTCCGAGGGAGACGGCGGCGGCGGCAGCAGCAGGTCTCGAGCGTAAACGCGGAAGAGCGAGGGCACCACGAAGTCCACCGCCAGACTCTTCCTCTGCAGGCGCGAGTAGCTGAGCGGCTCCCGGGGTTGCAGTGGCGGCCCTGCGACCGGGAAGCCCGCGCGCTGATCCGCTGAGGCGCGGAAGCCCCAGGCTGCCGCCGAAAGCAGCTGTAGCAGCAGCCACCGGAGCCCAAGGGCTTGCATCCCGCCACAGGGCTGGTTTACACTAGTCTCCCAACTCTCCGGGTCCCAGCCTCGCCTCGCCCTTTGCTTTCCCCCCAGAAAGGACCCACTCCAGTTCTTGGTCCCGAAAGATTCCTTCCACCTGTCTCGGGGATGGTGCGTGCGCTTGAGTCTCTTCCTTTCCTGAGGCTGCAAGGAAGAGAAAAGGGTTCAGAGCAAAAACGGAGCTGGAAGTCAGGGGCGAGTCCAGAGATCCTGAAACGCCCTGGGCTCAACAGCTGAACCCTGCGCCTCTTGCCGAACGCCGCGCCCCGGTCGGTAGCTCGCTGTGCACAGGGAGCAAACTACAGCGGTTGAAGGGACGTGGCAATTAGGTACGGTCCTCTCTTGCCCTCGGCAACCGCCGCTGGGCTCTGTACCCTCTCCCCGCAGTCTTCAGTCTTCCGCAACTTTCTAGGCTGAGGACCCCCGACCTGGCCACCCCCTCCGCTCCAGTAGCCGCCTCTGCGCTCCTTCCCAGATCTGGGCGAGAATCCCCGGAGCGTGCTGCTTTCTAGCGCCCCCTCCAGTGACCTGGGCTGCAGGAAGTCTTCGGACTGCACTGCCTGCTGAACTTCTGGGCGTGAATGGGAGCCTCTGTGCCGCGGAGCGCAGCCTCTGGCTTCCGCCCGGCAAGTTTGCAGCGCCCTCGCGGTGCCTGATGACTTGGGCTCCTAGGAGTTCACTCCCAGGCAGCAGAGCTTCCCGGTACGCAGCAGCAGAGTGAAAGCCTTCCAAGCAGAAGAGCCCGAAATCTTGCCCCTTCCTCACCTTCCGCAGCACGGGAGGCGTGCGAGACTGCCCAGGGTACCGCCCGAAAGCGTCTTGATACTCCGAGCCCCCCCCAAGACAGCAGCAGCGGGAGGTGCCAGCTGCCACCGCCGCTACCGCCCCCAGAGCCGCTGGATCGCATCTGCCCGGGCGCCCGCCACTTGCAGCTGGCGGACCCGCGAGAGCGCGCCGGGAGGGGGCGGGGCCGCGGCGGGGGCGGGGGCCGCGCACCAACTCCGCGCAGCTACCCGGCCCACGCAGTCCAGCCCCGCCCCGTCAGCACCAGCCAACCAATGGTGCAGCAACGTCGGCTCCCATGCAAATCAGCAGAGGCCTCCGTATTCATTGAGAAAAGCCCAAGGCCCGACCCGCCCTCCTAGGGTCGGTCCTTCTCTCCTTAGCCTTCCTCCAGATTCTCTGCCCTACTTCTCTGCTGTGTGAACAAGAGCATGTTTTGGACAAATGGAAAAACTGAAAGTGATCTGTGCAATCAAGCACTCTAATTATGCATTTAGCAGATTAAATGGGTCGGACTTCAGAAAAGCGGGTTCCAGAATAAACTGGAAGCAAAGAAAAGCCAGGAGGGAGAGGGTGGCAGCCTCACACTGCAAAATTCAAGAACAGCTTGCTTTTAGGGCCTTGGATGACAGTCTTCTCCAACCCTCTCGTTGTTCGAACGCATTCCTGAGAGCCTGGTGCTCCAGTAGTTCATACAAGGAAAGTCAGCTGTCTCGCGGAGTTGATCTTCCAAAGCCTTTCAGACCTCTGTCAATCACCCAGTTTTCTCCGGATCCTGTCTAAACAGGTTTTCAAGGTAAAATTGCGGTTCTGAAGACTGAACCCAGAGCCTTCTACATGGTTGGCAAAGCTGTAGGTCTGAGCTACACTCCCAGCCTAAGACTCTTTACTTGTTTATTTGTTTATTTATTTATTATTTGGGCTTGTTGAGACAGGATCTCATTCTGTAGCCCATTCTGAGCTCGAACTCACTAAGTTGCCCAGGCTGGCCTGGAATTCTTGGCAATCCTCCTGCCTCAGTCTCCCAAGTGTAAGCCACCACACCTGAGACAAATATATATATGTCTTTTTGAGACAGGGTACCCTGTAGCCCCAGCTGTCCTGGAACTCATTATGTAAACCAGGCTGGCCTTGAACTCACAGAGATCCGCCTGCCTCTGCCTCTTGAGTGCTGGGATTAAAGGTGTGCGCCACCACACCCGGTATTAGAAGTATTTTTAGTTCCAGCTTTACCAAGGAAGAAACGGAACTTTAGAGAATGCAATTGCTATGCTCAAGCTCATAAATCATACAAGCCCATTCTCTGGGTCTCTAGATCACAACTTTGCCTTGTGGCTCCTGCTCCATGAATATCAGAGAGGATGTGGGTATGACATAGCTGAAAGGGTGTTATGTTTGCTCACAGCCTCTGTGCCTTTTATTCACTGGGAAAGTTAGGATCCTATCTCTGGTCTCCCTTTTGTCTTTTGGAAGCTCCCATCATAGAATTCAGATAATGGCTGTTTCTAACTGAAGGTTCACCAGAAACCCAGATAAGGCTGCGGTCTTTGGTTCACACAAACCTTTCAGTTTCTTCCTTTCCGAGACTGATTGTCACACATTATGTTGTCTCTCCCAATACCAGAACTCAGTACTCTGAGAGCCACAGCACTTTGCTCAACATGAGATGACAGCCAAATGGTGCAGCCTCTGTTCTGGAGACTGGGGTCCTTTCCAACACGAGCCACCACCCTTGGCCAGTGGAAAACCTAGCAACAAAAGACAACCACTTCTGAAATTACAGCTTCCTACTCTATATTTGAAACTCTGTAGTACACCTAACCTGGCAAGCCTCTGCCTGAAGCTCAGATTAGGTACATGGAGTCTTGAAGGAGGGGAGAGAGGGGGAAGAAAGAAAAGAGTATGGCGGTAAACATTTTCCTAGTATGTGCATATGTACGTTTGGATTCTCATCAGATTTTTCTAGTACACACATTGGCATAAAAATATTTTCCATCTGAAACATGGAAAAGATCAAAATGCGATCCCCCTCACACCCCTCTCCATCTCTTTCCTCTCTATACAATTTTTGTCCAAAGGTAATTGAGTCCCTTAATTTGCCAGACTATGAACAGGCCTGTGAAATCAGTGGCCACTAGAGGGCTGCAGAGACCTTAAACGCAGATAAGCCACCGAGGTTTACCATTCTCACTAGTTTCCCTGAACATTGCTTTTGCACCTCATGGACACAAGGGTCCCAATTAACTTTCATGCCTTATTAAATTCTCTCAAATTTTTCCCAAGGAAAGACTAGTGTCTTTTCATGTAATTTAAATCACATTAAATCTCAAAATGTTCCCTATTTGTTAGAATTTTTTAATTTTTATCTTTTTTTTATAAACAACTTTATTAAGATGTAATAGATATACAAAAATTCTGTATTACTTAATGTATACAATTAGTTGAGTTTGGATATTCACACATCTGAAACCAGCAGAACAGTCATGATAATAAACATTTCCATCACTTCCAAACTTTCCTCCTGCCTCAAACCTTTATGGGATAGGGCAAGAACACAAATTGAGTCCTACTGTCTTGAGTTTTTCAGTGTACAATATAGCTTTATTAATTATAGGCACTATGTGGTATAGCACAACCCCAAAACTTTCTTATCTTGTGTAACTGAGACTTTATGCTCATTGAATAGTAGCTCTGAATGTCCCTTGCCTCTACCACTGACAACCACCATTTTACCTTCTGTACATGTGAGTTTGACCCTATTTTAGATGCATGACGTAAGTGGACTCATGTAGTATTTATCCTTCCTATTTCATGAAAAATAATATCTTAGATTTTCTAATTAATTATTGAGAATTTCATACATGCACATAAAGTGTTTTGATCAAATCCATGCCAACTCCCTCCCCTCCAACTCCTCCCATATCTCCCCATCATTTTTTTCTGACAACTTCATGTTCTTTCTCTTTCTTTCTTTCTTTCTTTCTTTCTTTCTTTCTTTCTTTCTTTCTTTCTTTCTTTCTTTTTCTCT